ATAAGGAGAAGGAGAAGGAAACGGGCAGCATTGAACAAAAGCTGGCCAAAGTCGAGCTTAGCAAGCAGGTGGTCTCCGAGAGCCAAGTGGACAGTGTGGTGCAGGGTGAGTCCCCGCCAGAACCAGAGCCAGAGCCAGCACTAGGAGCAACTGCAGCAGCAGCTGTCAGCAGTAGTCATAGCCTTAGCAGTAGAAAAGCCAACAGTAGCCTTAGCAGTAGCCAAAAATCTAGCAGCACAGTGAAGCCACAGACTAAAGACCCGACAGCGAACAGCAAGACGAATACCAAACAGCAGCAGGAGAAGCAGCAGGAGAAGGATAAGCAGGAGAAAGAGAAGCCAGCGGCTGGCATGTCTGGCCCTCAGCTGAAGCGCTTGAGCGTGCCGCCGAAGGAGGATTCGGGTACGGAGAGCGGCGAGGATTTGCGGCTGTTGGCCGCCGGACTGCGCGATACGCTGCAGCTGCAGCAGCAACATCGCAGCGATGCGAATCGCGGTCTACTGGACGAGGTCACCGATGCGCTCAGCCGGCTCGAGTGCAGCCTGAAGCTGGGCCAGGAGCTGGCCGTTGACGGCGGGCAGCGGCAGGCGCTGCTCTCGCTAATTGCGCGCCTGCAGAGCGGACTGAGTGCGCCCGAGAAGCTGGACGGCAGCGATGCGGCAGCAGGCGAAGCTCCAGCTGATCCGGCCAATGCCGAGGCAGAGCTGGGCGGACGGCAGCGTTTTGCCAAGCGGCGGCAGCGCAGCAATCGGCACACGGTGGGCGTCAGTCGCGAGGAGCTCGCCGATGCGCGTCGCTACATGGAGGACATGCTCATGCTGGAGCAGCATGCGGTCAAGTCAGTTGCAGAGCCAGAGCCAGCGCCTGCGCCGTTGCTGGTTCGATCTCTGGAGCGCAATGCCAGCTCGAGCGCCATTGTGGGCGCGCCCAGCACACAGCTGTACAGGCCGAATCAGTTTGTCGCCGCGCAGCTGAAGCCGCCGCAGACGAGGCGTCCGCTCTCCGGCGACTATGCGGTCAGCTTTGCCAGCTATGCGCCGCCGGAGTCGCAGATGCAGACGCAGCCGGAGCCGGAGTCCATGTCGGCGGCGACGACGCGCTTCAATGGCGGCAAGAAGCAACTGATGAAGCGCGCCAATACGATCGATATACCCAAGCTGAAGGCCAAGTACAACAACTGCGACAGCGACTCGGACGAGGAGGACGAGGAGCACAGTCGCAGCAGCCAGGCGGGACCCAATCTCGGCCTGAAGCGTGCCGTTCAGGTGAGCGTCAAGCGGCGTGTGCAGCACGTGGTGCCGCCATTTGAGCCCAAGACCGAAAATGATCACAAGTTCCTGGCGTTCATCAACAAGCAGAACCACCAGGGCGGGCTTGGCTGGGCGGGCGCCCGATCTGTCTCCAACTGGACGCACAAGTTCGGCAATATCAAGCACACGTTCGAGACGGGCGCCGCGGCCACCGCCACTAAGGGCAAGCCGCCCCAGCCGCCCAGCCACCACCAGCAGCAGCAACAGTTGTTGCGGGAACAGCAGCAGCAACAGCAACAACAGTTGCAGCAGGCGGCGCTGCTGGAGCGACAGCGTCGCCAGGAGCTGGAGCGTCAGCTGCGCCTCGAACAGGAGGCACGCTTCGAGCGGGAGCAGCGCGCGCGGCTCGAACGCGAATACTATGAGCAGCAGCTGGAGCGCCAGCAGCTGGAGCGGCAGCAGCAGCTCGAGCGCCAGCGGCAGCAGCAGGAGCAGCTGGAGCGGCAGCGACGTCAGGAAATGGAGCTGCGCATGCAGCAGCAAAGGGAGCGCGAACGCGAGCAACAACAATCGGCGACAGCAGCAACTGTTGCTGGCGGCGCGCCGCTTAATCAGTTTATACACGCGCCGCAGTCCGTCTTTCGGCCCATTGACCAGGGCCAGGCGCCAGCGCCGAGCATATACAAGCCCATACCCCAAAAGGGCAACAACAGCTGGCAGCCAACAGCAGCAACAGTTGCTGGCAACAAGCAACAGCAACAGCAGCAACACTTGCTGCCGCATGCTGCCGGCTACAGCAACACGCCCTCACCCTCGCCCGCCTCGACGACGGCCAACTCGCCCATCGGTCTGCCCTGGCTGGCCAAGCCGCGCGTCGACAACAGCGACTTCAAGCGCAAAGCACACCACTTCGAGGCCTGCTCGCTGCGCGACCAACTCGAGCAGCAGCAACAGCAGCAGCAGCCGTCGCCGTCGGGCGTCTATGTGCAGCGTCACAATTCGCTGCGCGCGAAGGCGCCGCCGGCAACGCTTAGCGAGTTCCGGAAGCGTCCCTCGCTGCCCAATGCCATGCAGCCGGAACTGGAGCTCTATCAACAGCAGCAGCAGCAGCAGGTGCCGGCGCCACCGCCGCCGACCAACATCTCGTTTACATATGCGGACTATGCGCCGGTGCGTCGCGGCGCCACGAATCTGGCCAACTATCGCAGTCAGCCCTGCCTGAGCAGCGTTGGGGCGACGCTAGAGCCGCTCACCAACCCGCTGGCGGCGCCGCTTGTGCTGACCAGTGCGAATCCCACATTTGTGCCGGCTCAGACGACGTTCGACTATGCCAGCCCCTTGGACAGTCCGACCAGCTGTTTGACCGCGCCCGCTTTCACGGACAATACGGACGACGATCTGGATCTGGACTCGGATCACAATATGCCGCACGAATACCGCGCCGAGATCAAGGTCATGCGCAAGCCGCGCAGCCAGACGGCGGTCACGGTCGCACCCAGACGTGCCGCCCATGTCAGCGACGACGAGGTCTACGGCCGGAACTCACGTGCCGCCAAATCCCTGCTCTACACCATGAAGCAGCTGGGCGGCAGTGGTCCCGGGCCGGGCTCAAGTGTGGCTCAGGGCAACAAGCGGGGGCAGCCCTTGACGGCGCCCAGTTCGCCCAGCAAGCCGGGCTGCCTGTCGCCAGACGGACGCATGTACCAGGCGCCGCTTGTCGAGCCGCTCTTCCCGCAGCTCAGCAGCTTTGAGCCCAAGCGCCGGC